AAAGAAGATATTTATGTTCGTTTTGTGTACGGAGTGCATTATTTTCTAGTCGTTTTTTAAGCGTTTCTGCTGAGATTCGCGTTTCGTTCTCTGAGAAAAATAAAATTCTTCCGTACTGGGATAACGTTTAAAGAGAACGACAGATCTGCTTGACAAGGGCCACATTAGGGCCGAAACCAGTCGCATATTTTTATCCTACTGCTGTTCTCTATTTATTATCATTTATCGTTGCGCGGATTACACGCATAGATTGTACCGTCTCTCTTCATCTCATTCAATCATTTTTTTATTTATCGGGTTTATCACTTTATTATCATTATTTTGTATTGTATCAAATTTTGATTAATGTATTCATTACGAATGGACATAGACTACCACATGTTTGGTCAATGAATTGTGATATAAGCCAAAACAAGCTCACGAATTTGACCGTTAGCGACTACACGGTAAAAAGTTTTATTAATTGTTTTATATTGTGTGTATAATTTTGTGTCAATCTCTTCCCTATCTCTATCTTTCTTTCCTTCCTTAAACGCTGTATCAAAAAAAATTTTTTATTTGATTAATTAATAGTATGATGGATAATGAATTGGTTCAATTAACTTGTAAACGTTGGCTACATCTAGCGTTTGAGAAAGTAAAAGGAAATGATGAATATGTTCAACACGCTTGGGGAGCCTTCATTCGAGAGTTGAACAAGTCTACAGCCGACACATTCGAGAAATTTTCGAAATTAATAGGTGAGAGATTTGAATATAGCACGATTTATAGATTACTCATTTTGTTGAACGATGAAGCGATAAAACATTCTCCGAATTGATTGGATATCGATGAATTGATATTGGTCACCGAGTATTTTCATAAGACATACCAGAATCAGTCTAAAATCTTGTATAATGACGAATTAGCTAGATATATTAGGGTGCCTCTAACTTTACCTAATAATATTGATCCAATATTCACATCTACTATAACAATCACATCATTAACTACAATAACATCAAGTAGCTCGATTTCTGATAAGCGATCGAATGACTCTATTGAACAGAACAACGTAGCTGCCCTGAAGAGTCCTAATAAGAACGAGACGGGATTTTTGAACCCTTCCTCAGTTTCGACGAGTATTATAGATACCAGTACAATAAACGCAATTACTTTACGGTCTAGCCAGCCGATGGGACTCCCGCACGGATCTGATGAAATTGCGATAAATAATACGACTGATCTGATATCGAATGCTCAGTATAATAATGATTCTGAGCCTACTATATTTTCGGATTCTCGAACGAGAGAATCTAATGTGGTTACAACTACTACGGCGAACACACACCTAGTGTCGTCCGTTTTGCTCGTTTCTTCTTCTCTATCGAAAGTAGAAGTAGCATGTCAAACGGATGTGAGTTTTGACTGCTCACCGAGTACGGCTTGGGCTCCACTACAAGAAGAGTTACTAGAAAACTTTAGAGTGTTTCGGAAATGGTGGCTCAACACTGACTGTAGAGCTGAAGTACATAATAATAAATTATGTAAAAGAGTATTTTGTGACACTCACCATGGACACTCAGTATCAGGTTGCAAACTTTGCACGGGTATATGTCATTCAATGATTACTCAAACTAGTTTAACCGCGGTGCAAATGAAGGAAGACTTACTCGGGAAATACCGAACGGAGTACATCGTTTTTACTGCTTTCGTAACCATTTAGCTCTAAATAGTTACTACGTTGAAAATAATATCTTTCCTAAATCGCTACAGTTTGATATCCCCTGTCAGACATTTGGAACAAATGATCCAAAATTGAAAGAGCGGTGGAACAATATTATTTTGGAAACTAAACGAGAACTTTTACGGTGTGAGGCGGAGTCTATTATACAAACAGTAGAATCATCTGAATCAAAAACCCTAGAAATTAGGGACAAATTACTCAATATGAATAAAGAGGACGAGTTACTACAGATAGAACGAGAGGAAAGCTTTAAACTAAAGGATGGGATAGAGAACTCCTGGAATAAAGTCTTTCGTCTAGAAGAACGAGAAATGATCCCTCGTTCGACAACTACACATGATTCTCCGGATCGGAAGGAGTCACCTTCTTCGACGGTAGACTCGGATAAACCCGTGTATGATGAGGTATGAAACAAATATCAAAGTAAAACTAGGAATAGCAATTCTCGCTCACCTCCAACCTGCTATGGATGCGGGAATCCCGATCACGTTAAACGATTCTGTCGTGCTCGTTGTTCATTTTGTAAGGGTGGAAAACACTCTGAAGAATTCTGCCTAAAGAAACTAATTCTTCCCGAATGAATAATGAACAAGATAGTGTATCGACCGCTAGGGATCAAGATATGTATGATCAACTAAAGAGAATAGCTGGAACACCTAGCTCTGTGACGCCACTATTAGTTACAGAGCCAGAACATAAACAAATACCTCAAAGAATGAGAAATATGAAAACCCAAGGTAATCGTTCTAAAACAGGTTTCTATTCACGCCCATTTATTCGTCGTAACGTTTGGCGAAATAACGATAATGAAAGGTCTAACGCCAATCCATCGGAGTATAATTATACTACCCCTGCTAATTATGCAAGGAGGAACTCATTCGTAACTAGTAGAACTGTCACCTGGGACACTGATACTGCTCCGATCGGGAGTAGTACGGGTCCCAATTGACTTTCTTCTTTAGCACACAGTGAACCATGCAGGTTGTCGGAGTTTGTCTTTAGTATAGGCCGTGTGTGTTTAGATACGCATGAACTGAAAGTTTTACAATATGGGCTGAAGTATATTCCAACCAGAAAGTTTTCAGGTAAAGCACAGTTGGAAGAGGAAATTAAAGACATCTCCAATAGATATATACACCTGCAACTGAATAGTAAGTTAATACGTGATGCCATAGTACAGACAACTCGTCCATTTCACCCGAATATGCGTAAGGAGGAATATAAAGCAATGAACGGCTTAGCGAAACCCAAAGACATTGTAGTTAAGCAAACGGATAAGGGACAGGCTATAGTGGTGATGAGTAAAGAAGTTTATGAAGAAAAAGCGAACACACTTTTACGTGATACACGGAATTACATATGTCTACCCAAGAACCCGGTATGTATTCTCTTTGAAAAATCACCGTCTTGGGCTAACTGCACCACTTCTAAACGTTGATTCATCATGAACTAATTAAGATGAACAAAAAAACGTATCATAAAATGAATCAGTTTGTTTACCACCACGTAAATCATTTGAAAACTCTTCATAATCTCCTTCAATAAACACCGTTGCCCATTTATGAGAAGTTTTCGCGGTCATAAAACCAATGCTCTTCAAATACTCATCGACATCTTCCCATTTAATATTGAAGAAACGTAACAACATATAAAGCAAAGTGCTAAGATATTTTATGTCACATTTCGACTTGCACATTTCAGCAAGATCACTAATGTCGGTTAGCAAAAGTTTGTCTTTAAAATTCAATTCTTCATCATCAATATCCATGCGATATTCATCATCAGATGAATCGCACATTTGACCAGCGACGAGCTGATACACCGCGCGATTGACTTTTCCTTTTATTTCCTCTAGGCATACCGAACTAACTTAGTGTAGCTGCAAAAGATATTATCTTAAAGAAAGACGTATGTTATGTGTGCTTCTGCTTATACCATGGTTTTTCGAGGAAAGGTTTTCCGGGGACTTTCGAAGGGTCTCTAAAGATCTCAGAAGTATGTTCATTCGATTTTTCAGCAGTTTTTACCTATATGGACAAATTTTCACTCAGTTTGGATGAAAAAGATGCATTTTATTTAAAAATGACC